CTAGTGGCTACATCTTGAAGGAGGGATGGAGGTGAAAAAGACAGTGTGGAGGAAGAGCCGTGCTCATCTGTTCAGCCCTACCTTGCCGTCATTTGTTCTGAAGCCAACGGGTCTGTTGCACTGGTGGAACAGCAGATGTTTTAGTGTCGCTTCGCTTTGACCAAGCTGCCTGCCTCCTTCCTGCACTTACTGGATTGCAGACAAAGTACTCCTTGTCTCTCCTTCGCAGCAAACCTTGCCTAGCTAATGTCATTTGTCAAGTTAATCAGGGAGAGTGGGCACTTCGAAGGCTGCTGTACAGCCTGGCCGCATTGCCATGGAGACATGCAGCTGAACAGGCGTTTTGCTTGCCCTGCTTTGCTCTGCAGAGATTCGGCATGAGAAGCTGGTATTTTATTTGCCATCAGCCAACCAACTTGCTAAGGATGTGAGTAGTTTTTCAAAGTTGCTATCAAGAGATTGGGAAGGGTCTATCTAGCATTTTAGTGAGCAAATGGTAATAGTGCTACTAAAGCAATTCCAGGGTCTGAATGCACAACTCCTCCTCCTCTGTCCCAGGGATGTTTGGCTCTGGTAGGAGGAGTTACAGCCCAGTAGCTTGGGTTTGGGGATGCCATTGAGATGTCATCACTCCTTTTCATTGGGATGGCTTCATGAGTAGCTGTTTGCGTATGGGATCCATGACCATCATTTAAGATACTTTGAAGAGCACTAAGTGTGCTGTTGAAGAGTATCTCAGGAGCCTGAGATCTCCCCAGCGGTTGGTGGGATTTAGGAGCTGACATGCCCTGATCACGTTTGAAACTCAGAGACAAGTGCTTTTGAAAACCATAAACTCAGGCTTACCTCTTGCATAAGGCAGGCTATAGAGTTTCACCCACTAACTCCTGCATCAAACCCGTAACTCATAAGCAAAATCTGGATATCGAAAGAGCCGGCAGAAGGTGCTTACGCATGTTACAGAGCTCGCAAGAGCTCCCTTGCCTCCATCTCACATGTGAACATGTTAAATGATGCATTGAACAGGTTTGGAAATGCTCCCTCCTGTAGTCCCGGTGAGCAGAACAGGAGGGACCTGCAGGCACCCAGGGAGGGGACAGCCACCTGCTAACCCCAGCCCTCCCCATGGGACAGCAGAGGAAACCTCGCATCAGCACAGAAAGGGCAAAAGTTCAGATCTGATTGTTTATGGGATTTTATGGAGCTGGGAGCCAAGGATAGCTCAGCTAATCCAGGGGAAACTGTACCAATGGCGTTAGAATGCGTTTCACATGGGATTCATTCAGTACGCGTTCACATGGACCAGTCTTTCTGTCTCCATTTTTTTAGCCATGAAATATTTTTCTTTGCACTCGTATCTGCCAGCCACACCGAGCCAAACTCTGAGCTAGGCTGTTTTAAGAAAAAAGAAAAAAACAAAAACCCTCTTGTCGTTTGACCTACCAACAAGATAGCAGGATTTCAGCGCGGCTCCCAGTAACACCAGTGCCAGGTACTGGTCTGGCCCCTGGCTGCTACCAGGCAGCCTCCACTCCCGCCTGCGGGCCCCCGCGCGGCCCCGGCGCTCCCTCCACTCCCGCCTGCCTCAGCATCCATTGCTTTTTTCCAAGCCATGGCGTAGTGCTGGCTGAGTCACAGCCCTGGTGCGGACAGCAGCTAAAAATGCCACTAGAAGGCCACAGCTTTGTTGTGACCTCCTACTCCTCAGTACCTGAAGCCTTGCCGGCTTCGTGGGCTGTCCTGGCCTCGGTTCGTCCTCCTGATTCTCCAGCGTCCCATGCATTCTCAGTGTGAGCCCCTCTTGGGAATATGGTTTTCCTTTTGGATGCAGTGGGACTGCCACGTTAAGCTGTTTGTTGCAGATCTTGGCTCCCTCCTCATGTCCTGAGCCACAGACCCTGTTGCTCTGCTGGAAGAGGTGACCTGGCTTAACTCTGGGCACAGGTGCCAGATCCTTCATTGTCCCCAGCCTGTTTCCTCTGACCCTGGCAGGATCTCACATGCTCTGGATTAGCCCAGCTGTGACCTATCCCTTCTGGAAGCTGCTTTCCTCTCACTGGGGACCAAATCCCGATGTTTGACACCCATCTCTTTAGAAGTTGTCATGGGACAGCCCCACACTCTCCCTTTCATGCTCATAGGGCTGCTGCAGTGGGGTGGGTATGGGTATGCAAGGATCCTCTGTCCCCGCAGAGTGTTTTGACATCAACCCATGGGGCATTGCAGCCTTCCCAGGGCACTGTGACTTGTTAACCTGAGCTGACACAAACCAACCCGTCGGGTCCTGGGCTTTCTCTTCTCCCCAGACGCAGGGCATTTTCTGACCCTGTCTGTGTTCTCTGCTCCTTAGAAGCCCAGACTGCAGCCACATCTCCCAAACCCTTGGGGAAAGCGAGCAAGGCGAGTAGCTTCTCAATCCTGAATATCTGAGGTCACATCCTGCACACCCTGTCACAGGTATGGAGCTGCAGGGTGCTTCCCAATAAGATTTTCCTGCCCATGCAGTCAGTTCAACCGTGTGCCGCATACCTCTTCGTGATGGGGGATGTCTCTGATGTTGTCTGGGGGGCTGATGCTCCGCATGTGAACATGTCGAAGGGGGAGAGGATGGGCTTTTGCAGGCAGGTACGTGATGTTAGTTTTCTTTTGAGTGTAAAAGCATCCCTGGCAGGAGGATGCTTAGGTATTAGCTTCAGTTCAGCACTACCTACAATGTCAGAATGATATCTCCAGGAAAATGTAAAAGCCCAGTCCCCAAAGTGGTAAAACGAAATGCAGGAGTTAATAATTGGGTGGAAATTGCATCCACTCTCCGTAGCACCACTGAAGGTAAGAGGTAAAGGCTTCACACTCCAGTGCTCAATGGGAGCAAGAATGGCAGGGGCTGCTCGTGCTCTTGCTCATGGCGCTCATCTCTACGACATGGGATAAGCACGTTGCGCCTGTCACAAAGGGGAGATGCTGCTCAGGGGTGTTTATTGCTTTGTCTTTAGAAATGGGTTTGTACATCACCCCATAGAGGCCACATTATGAGAGAGGCAGAGGTACTTCATGGCCAACCTTTACCCACGTGTGCATCTGTGTAACTGGGGGTGGTGATGGAAATGTCTCCTTTTTATTTACACCGAAGCCAGCAGGAAGGAGAGGCGCTGCCTTTCACAGCCCGTGCTGTTTGCTGTGCCTTGCTATGAGCTGGCTGGGGCAGAGAAGTCTTCCCGGGTATGAGCATGGGCTGGTGCAGCCTCGCACATGTCCTCAAGCCACCGCTCCCCATGTGCTGTCTGCAAGCACGGCAGCTGGGTGAGAGCTTGTTGCCCCTGCCGTGACCCACTGGGTGCTGCTCCCACCCCTGGGTGCTGCCCAGCCTGGGTGCCCAGAACCCTTGGGCCATGCTGTCCCACAGCCCCCCGTGCCGCTGGCCATAGAGGGACCGATGTTGCCATCTGCTGGCTTGGCTGCACAGGAGCAGCTGGAGTTTGGTTCAACCGTCTTGGAAGTCCTCCCTCACGAGTGGGTACTGATCCCGCTCCCACGCCACCGCCGGGCTGCCGGCGCATTGCCCACCCTCTGGCCCAGCCCATGGCCTTCTGGTAGCATCTGCCCATGGGCAGGTGGTTTAGGGGACAGGGTGGGTAACTCATTCCCACATGGGCTGTGCTGCTCCAAACCTGTTCCCGCGCTGCCTGTGCACGAGGGTGTCCCTCCTGCCCTCCCTTGGGGGTCAGCAGTGCTGGCCTCTGGCACGACACGCCCTGGGAGAACCCACAAGGCTCTTATTAAGGGAGCTCCTTCCCATTGAAGGTGAACATTTCCACTGCTGATTATCACCGTTAGGTGCTTATTTCTCCTCTGGGCTTGTCTTTATTTCCTTTCTATTTCAAGTTCTTGGCAAATACTCCCAGGCTGGGAATGTATCGCCGCTGTAGCAAGTACCCCAGAGGCACAGCACCCTGCACATCTCTCCTGGCCGGTCCCCACAGCAATGGCCAAGGCCAGGAGCTGCAGGGCCACCGGCTCCAGCTCTGGTCCCACAGCCAGCCCTGCAAAATTGCTGTTTTGCCCGCAGGAGCAACGGGACTGAGCTGGAGTAATCACTGACAGCTCGCTTGGGCATTGCTTGGAGGATGAGGTTACTTCCGTAAATCTATTATCTTTTTTGGCAATTAGCACCAGTTAGGAGCTCTGGGAATACATGCAGCAAATAGCAGAAAGCCCAGTTAAGTACATCTCTCTGCTTATCTAAGCCCAGTTAAACAAGTCTCCTGTGGCACAGCCCTGCAGCTGGTAGCTCAACCCATAAACGCTCCGAAGATGATCTCGAGCGCTGGGGTTGCTTTTCTTTGTGGCGAGATTTCCAGTCAACGCGTGTAAATTCAGAAGCAGAAGGGGTAGGGGCTCACCCCTGCCTGGGATAACCCCCACGGTCCACAGGTTGCATGGAGGAGCCCCGGGAGCTCTCGCATCGGCCGGATGCCGCCCCGCAGCGAGCCCTGCACGGGGTCACGCCATGTCCTGCTCCGGGTGGGAGCGCGGCGCAGGGCAGGGCTCGGTGGCTGGGCTTGACCACACATGTCGAGCTCGGGATGGGGAAGCGAGCAAGATACTGTTTTCTCTGGCCCAGGAAGACAGCGACGTGTGTTTGTTTTCCATGCTATCTCTTGCACAGCGTTTGTTTTGCTTGTCGAGCGTTTCAGGAGATAAAATGACCTAAAGGGAGATTATTTTATCCTAATTTAAGCTGTCAATTTATCACTGACTTCTGCTTGTCTGCACCAGCAGGACCGCTTGCTCTGAGTCCCCGGGGAAACCTTAGCTAGAAAGTGAGAATTTGGGGGGAGATTTGCTGCAGTCTCACATCTAATTTGTGCTTAAAACAGCAACTACAAGCTGCTCCTTCAGCCCCCCGGGTCATATTAGTTCCCATCACTGTGGGCTGGCTTGGCTTCCCAGGGGACTCCCCTCTCTAACTGGGGGCCGGGGTTGTTTTTCTCGTGCTGCAGGTTGGTGGAAGAGTTCATGCTGCTCGCGAACATGGCCGTGGCCCACCAGATCTACCGCTCCTTCCCCGAGCAGGCCCTGCTTCGCCGCCACCCCCCGCCCCAAACCAAGCTGCTGAAAGACCTCATGGAGTTTTGCAGCCAAGTCGGCCTCAACATTGACTTCAGCAGCGCGGGGACCCTGCACGTGAGTGCGCTGGCCCGCCAGGGAGCGGAGCTGTGGGCAAGGAGAGTGGGCAGCTACAGGATGGTGTGGTTTGGGTTGGATCTCAGGCAGCCCTTCCTCACAGAGAGGGTGCTCAGGCACGGGGATGCACTGCCCAGGGAAGGGGGGCAGTCACCCTCCCTG